GCTTTGCTTCTTTGTTTTTCCCTTTTTTTATATTTCTTTTTTTTTTTTTTTTTTTTTGGTAGATTATCTGCTTCTATTTTCCCTTTAATTCTGAGCCATTTCTGAGGGGTTCAGTATTGCTCTCTTGCTCAGTAAAATGGTTTCTGAAAATCCATGTGAGGTCTGATAATGGAAATGCAGGTAGTGCCTCCAAACTAATTTTCTTCTTTCCTTCTCTATCTTTTACCTCATATGCCCTTTATTTTCAGACTAGCAGCCCTAATCTGAATGCCAATGAAATGAAAACAATGATAGCTGAAAACCTCATTCGTCTTACATATGCAAATGTGTGTGTGCAAAGAGAATTCTGTCTCTTTAACCAACATATTTTTCACATCAGGCAAAAGGAGCAGATGAAGAAGAACAACAGAGGAAAGGATGTATACGAGAGGCTCCTGTTCCATGGAACCAGCAGTTCCTTTCTGGAATCCATATGCACTCAGAATTTTGACTGGAGAATCTGCGGAGTCCATGGAACCAGCTATGGAAAAGGCAAGTAGAAAGTGACTCTGATTAGATATCGTTGCCATGGTAATTGTCACAGTGGTAATCAGCTTTTGGAAGTATTTATAGTGCAGGAAAAAGGAAGTGTGGGATGTTCTTGTGTTCTCTCTGGTTGGCACGGTCAGGTTGTTCTGAGGCTGGGGGCTGGCGATGGCAAGTCTCTTCTGCTTGGGTCAGCAGCAGCGCAAGGCTGTTCGATCTGGCATGGCTCTTCCTGCCCATCAAAACCATGCCGCGTGCCACATTCGGCACGCCTGCCATAGGTTGCCGACCCCTGATCTACCATCTTCTTGACCTCTGTTCTAGCAGAGTTAAGTAAATGGTAACTCCTTTTGTAGGAAGACAAGAGTTACTTTTTCCCTTATGCTATTTCCTTCTTACTGGTGATTCCTTGTATTATACTTATTTTTCACTCTTCCCATAATCCTCATCTCTTTTTTTTATCCTCACTTTTTATCACATTCCTTTCTTATCCAGTCTGTTCTTGCCTGCCTTCTGAAATTAAAAGGAAACATCTAGCAAAACCTTTAGCTGCCATTGTGACATTTCCACTATCATGTACTTAAATGAGAATAGACATGAACTTAGTTTTGCTGAAATTTGAGCTGGGTCCATCATGTATTATCATGCAATGTTCATTCTCTTGTGCCTCTGTATGAAGTCTAGCCCATTTCCAGTATCCTTATGCTGTCTTTGTTATTTCTAGGAAGTTACTTTGCAAGAGATGCTAGTTATTCCCACGCTTACAGTCAGTCTCCTACTACCAAAATGAACATGATGTTTGTGGCACGGGTTCTGGTTGGAGATTTCATCAGAGGAAATGCAACCTATGTTCGTCCCCCATCAAAATCTACTAATACGATCAACTTATATGATAGTTGTGTGGACAAAGAGTCTGATCCCTCTATTTTTGTCATATTTGAGAAGCATCAGATTTACCCAGAGTATATAATAGAATATCACGAAGACAAAAAATGTACTGTATCTTAGATATAGGAATGTACTATGTCTTAGATAAGGAAAGGAACAGTTTGCATATCTCAGCTAATTGTTGATATTGTTAAGGGGGTTTTATTTGGGTTTATTTGTTATACTGATAAGGGTCTCATTTTTAACATTAACACTCTCCAACCATTTTTGCAAATAATTTGGTACTTGAAGGAGGTTTGCAAGATGAACATCCTGCTTGTTAGAAGACTAATCTTTTTCATCAGGCCATTAACATTCATCTAATCAGAAAATGTGATTACAGGTAACATGAACTGACAAAGTTATGGGGACACGGTTGTTGATTTTTATGATTCTTCTTTGGTTAGAAATAATTTTAAACAAACTTTAGTAAGTCAATATATAAAGGACTTGGCTTTAGAAATAACTACAAATGCGAAGAAAACAACTGACTTTAGTGTAGCTCATAAGCAAATTTCTAAGTGTATAGTTTTTTTAGATTTGTACCGATTATAGTTCTTCAAGTAGGAAACCTTTATAGAAGGGGCTCTTTATTGTAGATCTACAATTTCTGATTATCTCTACTGTTATTTCTAAGCAGTTTGAAGTACCTACTATGTAATGAACATGGTCTAGAATTTTCTCTCTTAGTGATATTTGTTAAAACAATAACTTAGAAAAATTAAGACTTTCCCTTTAAATTGGTGTAAAGACTAGGTTTTAAAATGTAGGAATTTCTTAAACATGCACCAGCAATGTCAGTCTAATGGTTGATATAGAAGACAATCAGATAAAATTCTGTTTACCCTTCTGCTGTAGGCTTGTGCAGCTTTATCTTTAGGTCAGGGTAAGACCATTATAGTAGGCAATCTGGGAAAAGAAAAACGCTGGAATTTTTTTCTCAGTTGCTAACGACTACAAGCATAAAATGAAAGGTAGCGTTGAATTCATTTGAAAACCTTGCTTGTAGTATATGTTGTTTTCCATGTGTGGACATGGGAATGCTGTAGGACAGAAGTAAAAAGTTGTGTTATACTGTTTTCTATCCTACAGGACAAACGTAAATTCTCGTTGAGCTGGAGATGTCGCGTGACTTGCACAGAGAGAATGTTTCTGATGATGTTCTCAATCACTTGTGCATTAGCATATGCTCTGTTGCCTAAACTTTGTTGTGTTTTGTGCGGCCCATTCTACACTAAGAAAATTGCCTACTGCTGACAGTGGTAGAGTGATAAATGGTTCTGATCTTTCTTCAGGTAAACCACGTTTAATGTCAGCATTTGCAGGAATGAGCAACTGTTTTAATGGCAACTGAGCCTGTTTAGTTAACTGATCTGCAGACTAAGATGCTTGCATTTCAGGGCTTCAATGGAAACGAAGATCATAAATTTCCATCAACTTCTGTCACTTTTCTAAGTGCTGATCTTTTCAGTTGAGACGTCAGTGAATATTTTTGGTGAGACTGAGAAAAATCCTCCAGCTAGTGGGAGGGAAACATATCTACTAACGTTTTGGAATGTGACTAATTGAAGATAATCATACTCTGCCAGATTTTGGAGGGAAAAATAGTTTTATTTTTTCTGAAGTATAATTTGTTAAATTACATCCTAGGAAGGAGTATTAGACAAATTTCAAGTCTGAAGATACAAACGTAAACTGTTTAGTTTAGCAAGTTCCCACGGGGGGAGGGGGGTGTAAGACTAGCAAATCATACTGCAAGAACTGTTCGAAGCAATTATACATTTAAGTGTTTTTTCAATATAATCTTAAAATCAGAAATATTGGATTTGGTAGTGGCAGTGGATGGCTTTTTTACATTCTTTTTCTTTTGTAGTCCATCATTGAATTTCCAAAATTATCCTTAAACTTGCTACAGTAAAAATTAAGTATATACTCAATATTCTTCTGTTGTTAGACATGTAGCTTAATATGCCATTAACATAGTGGGCAAATGACCAGGGTATTATTGGCATTGTGTCGTGGCTCTTGTTCTTTTGCATTCTGAATCAATGTCTAGCATCGGCCAACTGCTCATTATGAAAGATCAAGTCAAATGACAGTTTTTGTACAGAAGTGGTCTGTAACTGAGCTTTGCAATTACAAAGTGCCTGTAATAAACTAGATATCAAAAAGTGTGGTTGGTTATATCATTTTGTCAATTATGTGGAATCTGAGATCCTCCCTGCTATCGGCTAGTTAAAGTAGTAAAAAGAGCAAAAGGTTTGTGGTTCTACTGTTCTAAATGGGGAGGGGATGGGTGGGTGCAAATGTTCTGCCAATGCTGGTTCAGAATGTAACTTTCATTCAGCTTGCACAAATGAAATAGCACCAAGAAGACTCCCAATAAACATGTAGAAGACATTATTTTTGTAATCAACATAGTGCATTTTGTAAATGGCACAGATTTATAAAGTACAAGTTATGCCTGATACTCATTTTGACCAAAAATACTACTTCAAAAAATGTTCAATTCAGGGGCTTAAAGACTTAACCACACTGGTAAAGAAGCCATTGCATAGTAAGCCTATGCTGTGAATTTACAGCACAATAGCTGCTCCATAGTCACTTGCCATCTGTGTACTCTCAATGGGCACATCTACATGTGCCATTAGGGGGCAGCACTAAACTGTAGAGCTTATTGTTCCATAGTTTATTGCTCCTGGGAAGCTCCAAGGCACCCGGTTTACACATGCGCCTGGACTGCAGCACATTGAGCTGAGTTGCAGCACCCCTGGCAGGCAGGGCTGCTCCTACTAGGCTCATTGTGCTGCAGAGGGGCTGGCTGGAACCTGAGGGTGCTTCAGTGTGGGGCTAGCCAACAGGCACCCTTGTGCTCCAGCCAGCCAGCTCAGCAGCTACATATGCGCTGTTACACATGAAAACCCTGCAGCAGGATAGTACTTGTATTTACAAGTCCTGCCCTGTTGTGGAGTTTTAGCTTCATGCTCCCTAATAGGGGTGCACGCGAGGCATTTACTGTACAGCTAATTAGTCAGCTGTGCAGTAAACGTCTTAAGAATGCTTTTGTTTGGACATGGTTTATTTCACTTTGCAATAAAGTGAAATTTACTTTATTTTACTATGCACATTTACTATGGAGTAAACTGACTTTGCTCCACAATAAAAGTGGAGCAGGCACATGACTCACAGCCTTACCTGTTTAAGCCACTGCAGAGTACAGGCAGTCCTTGACTTACAACGTTTTGCACTTACAATGTTTATAAATTGACACCCTGTTTCAACTTGATGATGTCAGTTTCTACTTACAATGCTTGATCCGATGTAACGCCACACCAGTGAACAAGTTCACTGCGTTGCTCATCTCCCTGGAGCGCATCTGTCCAAACTTCCTTGAACACTTTCTTTAAGAAAGCAGACGAGACTCCAGAAAAACCTGCAGCCAAGACTCCTGAGAAGACTCCAGCCAAGAACCCTTCAAAAAGTCCAACCAAGAGCCCTTCAAAAAGTCCGACAAAGTCACCTCAAAGAAGTCCTTCCAAGTCAATGATTGCTATTTACAATATAAATAGATTAATGTAGCTATATTATTCATCTATAATTGATCGAGTACAAAATTCTGGGGTATTTTTGGTGAAAATAGGGTATCAGGCCTGGTTCAGGAACCAATCCCCCATTTATAACTTTGTTTCTTATAAGAAAATTGGTTCTGAGTTACATTTTACCTAAGACGTGGTTTTCAGGAACCAATTGTGTCATAAGTCCAAGGACTGCCTGTAAAGTTATGCAAAGCAAGGAGGTGTTTCGGTTGTATGTCTGTTCCCCTAGTCAGTATCATCCAAGGGTAACTTTGCCCAGTGGCAACCTGCCACCGACTGGTTATATACTGTAATAGCACCCATGGCAAGCATAGATTTAAACTGCAGCCAGATAGTACTTGTTTTTTTTACTCGTAAGCAGTGCATGTGGAGATGCTGACAGGGATGCCTGGGGCATGAGGGTGCTTCAGTGTGAGGGCAGGCTGCTGGCTAGTCCCACACTGGAGCACCCTTGTGCCCCAGCCAGCCCTTCTGCAGCATGTTGAGCCCATGTTGGAGCAGCCCCAGGCTGGCAGGCTGACCCCTACCGTGCCCTCTGCCAGCTAGGGCTGCTCCAACCCACCTCAATGCGCTGCAGTTCCAGGCACAATAAGCCCTGGAGTTTGAGTCCTGTTAAATGCACATGTGAACACACCCACTATGGAGTAAACCAGTGGCACCTAATCCTCTGGATGTAGAAGCCAGATGAGTGGTATAGGGTCAGTCCATGGTCCAGATCCCATGCAGGGTCAGTTTGTGATCTGTGAATGTAACTGGACTTGGGTGTGTGCCAACCCAACCTTGTGTCCCCAGCTACAGCCACATGCCCAGATCTGGCCACACACTGGCACTAGCTAGTGCTCAGTCATGTAATTTAGCCCATGAGCCTCCCAGTGGGTCTGGAAATTTGTCAATGGAGCAGGAATTAATGCTGCCACTGCTTCCCTGCCACCAAGTTTCTGGCTGCTTGGGGAGCCCACTGGCCTGGATAACACAGCTCTGCAGGCTGGATCTGGCCCACAGGCCAAAGATTGAGCACCCCTGGAGTAAACTTACTGCGGAGTAAAATGCAGGGTAAAGTATTCTGTAGTAATCTTGATGTGTGTCCACTCTCAAAAAAGTTAATGAATAAAGAGTTTAGAGTAGTTACCGTGATGCAAATTCACTTGCTGCTACACTTCCCTGTGTAGCCAAGACCTACATCTTACTGAACTTAATTGGATATATGTTTCCAATGGGAAAGGTCTTTTTTTTTTCTTTTTAAGGATTTTACCCCAGCTCATAAATCTTACTTGGAGGGGAAAAAGTTGCGACAGACTGTTACACCTTTTCAATCTCATAAATTCAAGAAATAATCTATTCAAATTGCCTTGCTTGGCAACTAGAAACTAGTTACAACTGAAAACAAAAGGTAACAGGAAGTTGAGTGTCCAAGAAAAAGTTCACACTTCTGTATAATTTAAGGAGTTGTCACAGGCTGGGGGCCCAGTCCACTTCTAAATTTGCAAAGAACTGAATCTGCAGGAGACATGGGAATGTGTTGTTCCTAATAATCCCAGGGAACAAAACATCCCCACAGGTGATGGTTATGAAGGAGGAGGAAGGAAGAATACTTAATATGTCTGGATAAAATAAAGTACCATGTATACGTCTGGCAAAGCAGAACACAGGAACCTTAAATTTAACATCCTATTGTGTGGGGAACCTAGTCCTTAATGCAGTGTGAGGAAGCATCTGATCTCCCACCTACCAGGCAGTTGGAAACAAGGGGCTACAGTAGGTGGGTTTTACAAGAGAGGAGGACTAAGCATAACACATGAGGGAATTCACCAGTCCTCAACCTCCAAAGTCAGGACCAGGATTACAGCTCTCATTAGGACAAAGGCAAGCATTCAAAACTTCAAGGTATGTTAAGCACTTCTTAAAAAAAAAATGTGGCTTAATTTATAAGTGATTTTCCCATTGGCATCAATGGGAGAGCTGCAATTGCTCAGCAATGCTGAAATACAAATCACATTCCTTTAGGTGTCATTTATAAAACAGCAGGCCTGGGGTGCCCTGGGATGGGCTTCTGTCCCTGGTAGCCTGCTCCCTTGTCCAGCACCCCAACAGCCTCTCCCACCTTGCTCACCAAGTCACCTTGAAGTTATCAGTGATAAAGCTGGGAGGCAGCCTTCAGGTGATCAGAGGGATGGTCTAGGCATCCTTCAGCAGCCCACACAGAATCCCTTCAGCCGTTCAGAAGCCCATATGGAGAACTTGGGCCTGCAGCAGCAAAGCCTGCAGAGTGTTTTGTCCTGGGCAGCCTCCACAGTGTTGCCCCTTTAAGAGGGTTCTCAGCAGCCTCCCCACCTGCTACAGCTGCCGCATGCCTCATTTTACAAATGAGCAAACACTTCCCATAACAGAAGCCATCAGTAAAATAACTAAAATTTACCCACCTGTAGGACTCTCCCTTGCAGTCCATGCAGAGTACCTTGGCCTGGGTCAGACCTCCACCTCAGCCTAGTTCTGTTAAAATTCCCTGCCTGGCTCTATCCTTTCCAGTCATCACCCCCCCCACCAACACTTCCCTAATGAGGCATAAGGATTCCTTCTCTACTCAGCAGGCTTACTGCTCTTACTGCTCCTTCCCTGATGGGCCCCAAGGTTTTCCCCTGCCTAATTGGCATGCTTACTGCTTTCCTCCTTCTGATCTGCCCTTGCAACCTGCACCCTATTAGTAGGCTCACAACTCTGCAGTTTGCTTCACTGGAGCTTTCACCCTGCACTCAGAGGGCTTAGGGGCCTCTTTTTTTTTTGTTGGAGTCTCACAAATTATTAGTGAATTAGTATCGCCATTCATAGTTTCATAGTTTCATAGTTTCAGGGTCAGAAGGGACCTAATAGATCTTCTAGCCCGACCCCCCGCCAGGGCGGGAGAACAACCCAAAAAAAAACAAAAAAACTTGTGCCCATTATTCCTTGTTATGCCAGCAGGGGCTAGGGGAAACAGCGTCTCCCCCAAACCCTTCTGGTTCCCCCTAGTGAGTTTATAGACGGTCACCAGGTCCCCCCTCAGCCTTCTCTTGTGGAGGCTGAATAGGTTCAAGTCCCGCAGTCTCTCACTGTAGGGTCTGCCCTGTTGTCCCCGGATCATGCGGGTGGCCCTCCTCTGGACCCTCTCCATGTTGTCCACATCCCTCCTGAAATGGGGCGCACAGAACTGGACACAATACTCCAGCTGCGGCCTGACCAGCGTCGCATAGAGGGGGAGGATCACCTCCCTGGCTCTACTCGAGATGCACCTGTGGATGCACGACAAGGTCCGGTTAGCCCTGCCAACCATGACCTCGCATTGTCGGCCCATGTTCATCTTGGAGTCAATAATGACACCAAGATCCCTTTCCGCCTCCGTGCTCTCAAGTAGGGAGTTCCCCATCGTATAAGTGTGCTGCTGGTTCCTACTACCCAAGTGCAGCACCCTGCACTTGTCCGTATTGAAACGCATCCTGTTCCTGTCTGCCCACCCCTGTAACCTATCCAGATCCTTCTGCAATCTCTCTCTCCCTGCTAGCGTGCTCACCTCCCCCCAAATTTTGGTGTCATCAGCGAATTTAAACAGGTTGCTCTCCACCCCAACATCAAGATCGCTGATGAAGACATTGAACAGCGCAGGGCCCAGGACCGAGCCCTGAGGGACTCCACTACCCACCTCCCCCCAAGTCGAATATGATCCATCCACCACCACCCTCTGAGTGCGACCCTTCAGCCAATCTGCAATCCATCTGACCGTGTAGGCATCTATGCCACAGTCGCCTAGTTTACTAATTAGGATGGGGTGAGAGACGGTGTCAAAGGCCTTGCTGAAGTCCAGAAAGACTACATCCACCGCGACACCTGCATCCATGGCCTTTGTGACCTGATCATAAAAGGCAATCAGGTTGGTCTGACATGATCTCCCCCTAATAAATCCATGCTGATTGCCCCTGAGCATCATCTCGGATGCCGGCCCATCACAAATGTGCTCCTTGATGATCTTCTCAAAGAGCTTCCCCAGGATTGAGGTAAGACTGACGGGCCTATAATTGCCCGGGTCCTCCCTTTTCCCTTTTTTGAAGATGGGGACCACATTAGCTACCTTCCAATCGTCTGGCACCTGGCCCAAGCACCACGATCGCTCGTAGAGCCGTGCCAGGGGCCCTGCAATAACCCCAGCCAGCTCCCTCAGCACCCTGGGGTGGAGAGCATCCGGACCCGCTGACTTGAACGCGTCCAGCCCCTCCAGAAGCTCTCTAACCCGGTCCTCCCCAACCTGAGGTCTGAAGGCGATCCCCTCGCGTCCGGCTTCTATCACAGCAGGGAAGTCCCGGTCCCTGCACAAGAAAACGGAGGTGAAGAATTGGTTAAAGAGGTCCGCTTTATCCTCTGACGCAACCACCAGATTGCCCCGCATATCCTGCAGGGGCCCCACATTACCCGGCGCCTTCTTCATCCTCCCAATATATTTGAAAAAGGACTTTTTGTTATCCTTAATCCTGGACGCTAATCCGAGCTCTATCTCCGCCTTGGCCTTCCTAACAGCCCGCCTGCAGGCCCGAGCAGAGGAGGTATACTCCTCTTTGGAGATTACACCCCCCTTCCACCGGGCGTACGCCACCCTTTTGGCAAGCAGGCATTCCCGGACACCCTTGGTGAGCCAGGGGGGCTTCCGGACACTCCTGCCCCCTTTGCTTCTTGTCGGGATGGACACCCCTTGGGCCCCGAGTATCGTTTCCTTAAGGAACGACCACTCCTCTTGGACGCTGAGTTCCTCTGCCCTCAAGGACCCCAGTTCCTCTCCCACTAATCTCCTCATCTCACTGAAGTTCCTCAGGTTCAAGTTCTATGTCCATATGCATATTTAAAAAACACCAGATAATTAAAGACCAAATTCTGCCCTTGCATCTGGATAGCTTCTTCACCAAATACTGGTTTATTTATACCCACCTGAGAGGCTAGGAATAGAACACAGTATTCCTGGTGTGGTCTCTACAGGCTGCTCGTTCTACTTTTTTCTTTATTTCAAGAGGTTTGCCTGTGGCCTTGTTATTTTAGGTTTTATTTTGCTTCTTTACTTAGATAGGGGATGCTGTTCAGGAGTCCCTCATAAGTTAGGCCGTAATACCCAGTCACATGAGTAAAACACGTACTTATTTATAAAGAAAATAAGGGCTCATGAAGGGTGGGATTTTCAAAGAACCAAACAACTGATCATCGGTGTTCATACTACTTACCATATTTACTCATATTCAAGATGAGGCTTTTCCCCAATTCAGCATGGGTTGAAAGCTCTTTTTGGATTCGAGTACAGGGTGTGGGGAGAGCAGCTGCTGCGGCTCTGATTCTGGCCCTGAGCCTGGGTCAGGGCTAGAGTCAAGAGCCACAGCAGCTGCCTGCCCCCTGCCTCTGCCAAAACTCTACCCCTCCCCACTGCCTACTGTCAGGTGTGGGCTCTGGGTCCATTAACTCCTGGGGAATGGAGAACATGGAAACTCCACTCTTTGCTCAGCCAGTCAGTGGCATTGCAGCTCTGGCCCTGAGACACTGCTGTATGGCTGGACAGGTGGCAGACTGCAGGCATCATGAGGGCGGGTGCTCAGGCTGCTCACACCAGGTGGCAGGGAGGCTGCAAGCAGGTGCATTGGGGTCCACGGAGCCCCAGCCTGGCTTGTTGCCAGCAGAGGGTGCACATGTGTCTTGAGGCAGATGGCAGGGGAACTGCAAGGGGCCTGATCCTTCTTGTGGCAGCACAGCCCTGGCCCCTTCCCCACCCCAAGGCTCACGTGTACTCGCTGCCAGCGGTGAGCCGAGCTGGGGCTCCATGGACCCTGTTGCAGCTGCTTGCAGCCTCCCCACCACCTGCAGTGAGCAGCTCATGCTCTATGGCGGGTGGCAGGGGCCTTCCCAGAGCCCGGGCCAGCTGTTGCAGGCAGACAGAAGGCTGCAAGTAGCTGCAGTGGGGTTGGCAGAGCCCCAGACCAGCTCATTGCTGGCAGCAGGTACATGTGTGCCTCAGTGGACAGTGGGGAGGGGCCGGGGCTGTACTGCCAGAAGAAGGATGAGGCCCCTTGAAGCTCCCCTGTTATGTTACCCAAGGGCTGGCATGCCAAGCAAAATGTCTTTACGTGCCATGCTCTGGCACATGTACCAGGGATGGCTGACCTCTGCTCTAGGGTAAGAAGCCTTATGTTGAATTGGATCCAAACATTTATGCAAAAACTTCACAGTTCCATACATGTAGGTAGTCATTTCCCTGCCACAGAATTATATAAATAAAAGGGCAATACAAAAATGTAAGAATGAATTTTACCTACAATTGTCAGTAATGTACCAAAATGCAACTGCAATAAAGATCACATGAACACTTAATAGATTGCCAGCAGACTTCAACTATTGTTCCCCACTGTCATTACTCCTTATTAGATTTGTTATAAAAGTGTGCAGCGTTATAAGTATAAAAATCACCTTGATTTTTAAATTTCCATTAAAGATGCAATAACAGAAACAAGCAGTAAAATCTTTAGAGGAACCATGGCAAAGAATATCATACAGACATAATCTTAGATAGACAGCAATGCAAAGTGTCTTTGAAGAACTGAAAGACAACTTCTGGAATCAGCATGCAGGCCAAGAACAAAAGACTGTGTGCGGAGTGCTGTGCATGTTGTGATGCAGGCCCTTACTGCAAGCCAGGGACTTGAGGGACCCTTTGGCCATCAGTGGATCCACCACTACAATCATTCACTGCTTCAAATCTCATATCTGTTTCCTCACCACTCTGCGCATGGGGCAGAACTTGAGGGAGATATATAGCTCCCAACTTCTGTTCCCACTTCAGCAGTAGTTCTGTGAGGCCAGGACCTCTTGTCTTGTGGCAATGGGGAAAAAGCGCAAGGTTTGGCCCATAACTTTGTGCTGAGATGTAACAGTGGGCCAATGCTGTCTTGTATGCTTCCTATACCTCTGGCACCACCCAGACTTCTCTAATGGATCCCATTTAATGTTTTATTTTCTTGAAAAGCAGTTTGAATGTTCACCCTTTCCTATTTATGGACTAGAATAGCAAAGCCAAGAAATAATTTGACAGCCGGTCTAGAGGACTGTTATCTCACAACCCAAAAGGTATAGAAACCATCCATATTTCTAGAAAGTGATGGCTCAGCAGGTTTTAAACAAAGGATTGATAGACCTCTACTTTTCCTGCTACTGCTGCCTTTTCCCAGGCACAACTAAGCCAATTTCTTGTTAGGACTGGAGATGCTCCAGGAAGTTAAGCATCAATGCTGAATCACCTACAAGAGCATTCCAAAGTTCAGGCAAGCAGGAGATCTGATATGGCTTATAAGGCTACTAGTAATTCCCCCCATTTTGATTCCTTTAATTCCATGGGAATCCACTAATTAACAGTGCTAATCATGATTTCATCTGAATGAGAGAGATTCAAGCCACTGCATGAACAGCTGATGCCTTCCGAATAAGCCGCTCAGTCAACGGCGAATTTGGTCTCAGTGCATCACGTTCCATCAAGAGGCACCTGGAGGTGAGGAGGCAGGAAAAAGAGGCCTTAAATATAGAGTTCAAAATTACAGAGCAGGCTATTTTTAATTTCCTTGTGTAGTAGCCAAGTAGAAGATGGTGACTTCACTGTCACCAGTGCTACCTGACAATCAGTTTCGAAGGCACTACAGCAGTGTTTTTTCAAGGTCAGTATTGTATGCCTGACCCACAAACACAGAGCACATGCTAGCTGAGTGGACTCATCTTTTCCCCACTTCTACCCCTCCAATTAATTCATTTTTGCAATCACATGGCACTGGAAGTAGCACTGCACTTGCATGGTACAGACTGATCTTTGCCTAGGAGGTCAATTTTAAACAAGCCTGCTCTTCTCTCACTAAGCCCCCTTGTTTCCCATTTGTATTCAAGAGGCTGAAGCAGAAGAGTCACTCTAATCTGGCTATGCTGCATCTAGTTCCAGGACTAGTACACAGAGACCTAGTTTGGAGTGATGTTGCATCAAGGATGGGCAATTATTTGGCCCATGGGCCACATAGAGAGTTTTGGTGGCCTGTTGCATGCCAGGTCAGCACACCCCTCTGCTCCCTCCCTGCACAGCAGCTGACCAAAACTCCCTAAGTAGCCCCATCCTATCTGCCTGGTCATACACCCTGCCTATACAGGTCCCAGATGATCTCCATAGAGACTCCAAGATCATGGAGCTGAGGGACAAATGAAAACAAAGCAGCAGGGGTAGCGATACTATTCAAGGATCAAAAGTTAAGAGCAAAGCAAGGGGAAGACATCATCACTGGCAGGTTACAACAAAATGATACCATCAGTCAGAGAAACAGAATTAGAAATTTTCAATGCATATGAACCACTAGAGAGAAAGGGGAGGAAAGCTCTGCTTAGAAAGCTAGCAGTATTCATGGTTGGAGGGAGACTGCGGATTATAAACAAGGACTTCAGCTGTATAATAGAAATGGGTGACAGAACAGAAGGAGGAGGAAATGAACTTTAGACAGATTGTCCAGATTGTTAGCAATATAAAAGAAGAGTCACCGACAGATGGGTGGGCAGGGAGAAAACTTTCACTGGAACTGACCCTGGTGGAAAGAAACAGTCAAGAACTGACTTCGTGTTTGTATTAAAAGAAATAGAGGTAAGGAAGAAAGAAACCATAAGTGTGGCATTTAGTGATCACTGGATACTGAAGGTGGAACTGAGTCTTTGTAAGAGCCCCAAAAGTTGAAGGGGAGCGTGGAAGCTAAATGTGTGACTGTTACAAGGTACGGAGATATGTCAAGTGTACATGAGACAGTATGAGGTGTGCAGAGATGACCTGAGCAGGGTGCGGGGCCTGGGGCAAATCAGCCTGTGTGGGGCCCTGTCCCTGGAGTGGCCGAATGTGAAGCCAGTGGCAGCGCGGAGTTGCCGTGCCGCTCTGTCTGGCTTCATGGGGTCCCCCAAAGTGTGGGGCCCAGGGCGGTTGCCCCAATTTGCACTCTCCCCTGGCCCCCAGGGACAGCCCTGGAGGTGTGAACACTGAAGAAATATTTTAAGAGTACCAGAGAATGGTGGTTGATGGTGAAGAGGAGGACAGGAGAATTCCTCAGGAAGGAAGGCTGAAGAACTGTGGGGAAAAGAATGAAAGAGCTGAGAGAGCTGCAAAGAAAGATGCAGGAACTGCTAAACGAAGCTGCTGAAGTAGATAGATATGAGAAGAATGAGAAAAAAAATAAGGCAAGAGCTGGAAAGCTGGTTTAAAAGAAAGATGAGAAAGAAAATATGTTTAGCACAAGCACCCTGGGTGGGAGAAAATGAAGAGTGGTCTTGATACTTTTTGGCTACAGTGGACATGGTGAAAACAGAGCTAAAAACAGTGCAAGAAGGTGGTTCCCAGGTGGAAAATAAGGAGGTGGGGTTGGTGGTGATGAGAAGATTTTATGAAGAGCTATATTAAAAGAGGAAAATGGACAGGAAGAAGAAGGAGGACTGGAAGAGACCAAAGAAAAGGTAGAGGAAGAGGAAGCAAAGAAGATGGAAGAAAAGATAAGCTTAAAGGAAGTGGAGGAGAGCTTAAAAAACCTTTAAAAGAGGGAAACCACTAGGAGCAGATAGACTACCTATGGAATTTTACAAGAAGTTTTGGGCATGAGTAGGGAAGGATATAGTGGAATTATCATGATAACATATTTGAAGTGTTAGGAAAAATGGGGCTCCCAGATAAATTTATATGCTGGATAAGCTTATTGTATCGTAACACTTCAAATATGTTATCATGATCCACTCTGTCATGTGTTTTTTCTAAATCGAGGTTTGCTGTAACTGTGTGTGTTTTTCTTTCTTGGATGTGGGACAGTGCATCTCTGATCACTTTCAGACTTTCGATAGAAAGGGTTCTAAAGCATACAGAGTATGGAGAAGTGATGGGGGGTTAAACTAAATAGATCAAAAAGCACCATAACGGAGCTGAAGGAAATTGGAGAGATGAGAGACAGAGAGAGAGAGAGAGAGAGAGAGAGAGAGAGAGAAGTGAGAGTGCTAGGGATCCCATTGGAAGCCGAGGGAAAAGGTAACACAGCATGGAAAAAGGTGATGGCAAGGATACAGCAAATACTTTGGTTATGATCCAGAAAGGACACTGTCCTTTGCTGAAAAAATGGTGGTGGTTAAGGCTGTGCTACTGCCCATTATTCTATATATGGGAATTATATTCCCACCAACGTGGGACTGCATGTTCTTTTGGAATGTCAAAAAAGGAAAGGTTGGATAAAGCGGAACTGTTCAAAGCAAGAGAGATGGGAGGAGGAAGGGGGACTGCTGGACCTGGGATTGTTCTTCTATGTGAAATATGTAAGTGCAGCATGCAAGATGGTAATGGAAGGAGAGGGGAAAGCAGCATGTATCACCCAATTTCATGAAGCTGCAATTTGGAGGAAAATGGGAAAAATATCAGACCTCTTTGAAGAGTCCATGGGCATGGCAACCACTGATTCATTACATCAGGTTGGAAGGTTTTATGCAGAGGTATAAAATAAGGAAGGTAGGGCTGGAGGTCCTGAAGGATCATAAGAAATTGAAGAGAGAAGTGCAGGGAAGAAGAAATGGTGGGACGTGTGTTTTGGGAGTGTACATATGCAAAGTGGGTGTGGGAAAGGGTCTGCCACTTTCTGAGTGTCACCAAAATACATCTGTTGTTAGCACAGGAGATGGTACAATATGGACTCATACCAAAGGGACCAGAGGAAATGTTATTAAGGACTTTATTAGTATGCGTTAAAGCTAGTTTATGGAAAGTAGGAAACTTTTGGGTTTTTAAGAAGTTGGCTTTCACTGAGAGTGCCTGAAGCTGGGACTGTATAAACTGAAATCGGTTGGGACAAGGAAGAGAAGTAGAGAAAAAAGGACTGGACACACTTGTTTCACTGAACCAACAGAGAAGACTGATGGGAGGGGTGGAGAGTTTCAGGTGGTTACTTAAGTAATAGTTTTTCATGGAGTGCTGTATGAAGAAAAAGAGTTTTGTAAAGGGTTTTTTTTGTGGGAAGTTGATATATGTATATATGTAGTTGTATGTTTTTTGGATATGGATTTGTTTTTCTGATATGAAATCTTGGTAAAACAAGGATGCTCATTATGTGAAGTTAAGTAAGTGTTGAGCGATAAGTATATTTTTAATACTTTTTGTAAAAAATATAAAAGGTTCCCATCAGCATATTTACTCAACATGGGCCATGTACTTTACAATTATGCTCAGCATTGACTACATTTAATCATCTTCATAGTTGGTTTCCATTACTGAGCACCATATGCTGCTTTTAGCAGAAGTTCAAAGATAGACAACGTATTTAATGCAGATTCCTTGTATGCAAATGTAAGATAAGTGGCTTCCCCCCCTGTGCTGATTAGGGGGAAAAAATCTTATCTTGTAGTTGAGCAAATACAGTATCACAGAAGCCAGAACACAATTACTGTAAACAGCACCCACCTTGCCAGTCTCTGGTAAGTTTTAGATTTACAGTTAATCGCAGCATGGATCAACAACTGGTTGAAGATATCTCTCTGGAAAGAAAAATGCACTATAATATCTAGTAACAAAAGTTCCAGGTAGCAGTTTCTTTTCTTGATGACCGAACCCAAAACACACTAACCACCTGACATGCAGCACTTTAATTTCAAAGAAATGTAGAAATGGTTTAAAATTACAGTGTAGAAATGGAGAGCTATAAAAGGAATCTTACTGCTAACACAACATAGTGCCACCTGAGGCTACTGAAGGACAATCGAGATAGAATCAAATGTAATTTAATAAAATACCTTCTGTGGTCCTTACTTGAGCATTGCTGCCGCCTATCTGCAGGATCTGGTAGCGAATTGGATAAAGTAGTTCTACTGCGTTGTCATAATTTCCATTGTCAAACTCTACAAAGGCTTGGCAAAGTGGCAATCCCAGCTGTAAAGCCAGGCCAAGCTCATGATCTTCCCCAGGTTCCCTGTGAAAGAAGAAGGGATTTAACTTCTAACAAGAAGAGCAGGCTTCAGCAGTTCTTTCACTGAAACTCCATCACATCCTGCAGGTAGGTACTGTTGGTTGCATGATAATCCAATGTAGATGAAGTGTCAAGCATACAGAAAGCCAGATCTATATAATCACATGGACAACTGGCTTATGAAAATCTGTATTTTCTGTAACTTTAAAAGTTCTAACATCTCAAATATTTAATTGGATATGTAAATAATATTTCTATGATATTTCTATTTCACTGAGAAGTTGTGGGTTTTTTCTCCTAAAAGAGGACAATGATGACGAATCAAGTGTTTTTTTGATGCCGTACCATTTATTTACAAAGCATATATGCAACATCCTATTTCACCCACCATGGAAGGAATCAACGACAACATAAATCCTGGATTAATATCCCAAATCCTTTCTTCTAAGCAAACTCTCTACATAAAAAGCTCTATCTTAGGTTTCTCTCAAAGTTACACAACACATGCTGCTTTGGCTGTTTGTTGCTTGCTCTTTTTTGCTGTTTGGTTCTGGCTGCATCTCACATGCACACAACAGCTCGAAATAATACCCAGCAAAACCTCTTCATCCACAGAGCTCAGCCTTATCCATGACCTGTGTTTTGGACAGTAGCTGCCAGTAGCTCTTTTACTCCAAAGTTAAATTTAACATTACCTCATACTTATTCTGAATGTAGAACAGTTATTACTATATGGGTTTCTTCCAATCCCACATCAATATAATGCAATAGAGATTATTAGTAATTTTTTTTGCAGAGTTATCCACTCAAGACAATGGGAAGGCAAAGAAAGAGTGGAACAACTGAGATTATTTGGACTGGAGAAACGAAGATGAAGGGAAATAAGATAACAGTCTTTAAATACAGAAAGGGTTGTTATAAAGAAGATGGCAACAGACTAGTCCAACGGTGCTCAACCTCTGACCTGAGGGCCAAATGCAGCCCGTGGAACCATCACATCTGGCCTGAAGGGCTCCCCAGAGCCCCCTCTCCCCATACCTCCCAAGGCTGAGCCATGCCCCCTACCCCTCCTGGCTGGGCCAACCCCTCTTCTCCTGCAGGGCCAGGTTGGGGCCAGGCTGCACCCCAACCCTCTATGTGGCTGGATGGCATCTGTTATATCCACCCTGAGCACCAGATCAGGACCACTGGCTGGACCCAGGCCACAGATGCACTGAGCACTGCCTGTCTGGCCCACCAAGGAAAAAGGTTGAGTACAACTGGACTAGTGTGTCTACAGGGGACAGGAAAAGTAGTAACAGATTTCAATTGCAGCATGGGAGGTTTAGGTTGCTGTCTCACTATGAGGGTGGTTAGTAGTTGAACAGATTATCTCAAGAGGTGGGGGAATCTCCACCACTGGAAGTTCTTAAGAGCACTTTAGACAAACACTTGGCTAGGATGACTTAACATGGGATGTTCCTGTCTTGAGCATGGGGCTGAACTCGCTGACTTAATGGAGTCCTGTTTCCTATGATTACATGAAGACAGGCAGATATCAGATGAATGTCCCAACACAACAGATTAGAAATCCAATTGGTTGGAATTTCTCACTGTAGCACAAGAAAAAAATAAAAGCTCTCCAACAAAATATGGCTCCAGGTACAGCTGTAAACTCAAACAGTTTCTTAGGTCTCAATTTGTTAGTATAACGTAATGAGAAATCTAGACAACATAACATCATGGAAACAGAGTGCTAAACATTAGCGCTGTGCAAAGCTTTGGTCACCAATTCAATTCGGAGGAGATTAAGCGGCTGAATATCTGAATCTGAATGGAATTCAGAGCCCCATTAAAAGGTCCGAATTGAATCCAAAGCCTCCAAATAGATTCGGACAAGATTTGGCCGATTCGGAGGACAGTGATTCAATTTTGTGATTCGAATAAGCATCCCCATTTGATTCAGCTGAATCAGAATCGGAAATTCAGCAGTGATTCAGAGATTCAGATCGGCCGGGAAGAGGCAGGCATAGCCAGGTGGCTGCAGGTTCTACCGTGGCTCCTCCAGCTGTGCCTGCCCCTCCCCAGGTTGGGAGAACTGTGGGAGAAGCTCCCATGGCTGCCCTGCCCATCCCCATCCCCTGCCTGGCCCAGCCTCCCGGCACTTTAAAAAAAACCCCAAAAGAACAAAAAAAAGCCCCATACTCACGGGCTGCAGCAGCGGCAATCAGGGCCTCTTAGGGCTCGTGGCAGAGCTCCCCCATGCAGCACAGGGCAGTGGAGGGCAGTGGGGATTGCCCCACCCATTTGGCACCCACGCAGCAGCTGTCGCATTGTGCAGGTGCAGTGCAGCATGTGCTGTCTGGGAACTGGGGCAATCCAGCAGTCAGCCAGAGCCTGATGCCACTCAGCCCCAGTGGTCCCAGCTTCCAGACAGCGCACGGTGCCCTGCCAAGCCGCACTGCACCTGCGCCATGGGTGCCAGGTGGGGGGGGGAGGGGCAATCACCGCTCCCCCCCACCTGCCCCATGCTGCATGGGGGGGGCTCTGCCAAAAGCCCTCAGAGGACTTGATCACCACTGCTGCAGACGGTGAGTGCGGGGCTTAAAAAAAAAAAAAAATTAAGTGCCAGGAGGCTGGGGCCAAGTCGGGGATGGGGCCAGGCAGGACAACCATGGGGACTTCTCCTAAGGCTCCCCCTGCCCAGAGAGAGACAGGCACAGCCGGGGAAACTGCGGGAGAACCTGCAGCTGCCTGGCTGTGCCTGCCTCTCCCCAGCTGATCCGAATCTCCGAATCTCCAAATCAGCGCCGAATCTCCAATTCTGCTTCAGCCGAATTGAACGGGGACAGCGATTCAAATCACCAAATCGAATCACTGTCCACTGAATCAGCCAAATCCGAATCGAATACTTCCCTATTTGCACAGGCCTACTAAACATACATTCTACCACCTTGCAACAAATAGCCGAGTCACCACTTCAAAAACACCATTGAAAGTTTGTGTAAGATGGACATGATAAAAATAATACGCAATATGTAGCTATAAGCATGTGCAAATAAACCTAAATCTTGAAATACATCCTGCAAATGTAACAATCTTTGAAAAAAAGGGATTAATGAACGTGTGTGTACACTTCCCAACAATGTCTCTGTGAACATCAAAACTCGGGAGGCAGTAACAGCAAAATAAAATACTATGTTGTTTTAAAGACCTTTAAAGTGTTTAGCATGGGCCTAAAGTTGTTCTGCCATGGGAGGCAATGCTATAACTCTCCTTGTTTTCTCTAGAGTCAGAGGTAAGGCAATGCAGGGTACTTCATCTTGTGGTCAATCATGACCCCCAAGTCTCTTTAAACAGTGGTTCTAGCAAGTGTAGCACTACCAAGCCTATAAGCACGCTGTGGGGTTTTTTCCCTGAGGTGGGGTACCTTACATTTATAAGTATTGAACGTCATCAGGTTTGTGTCCGCCCACTTATTAAGTTTATCGAAGTCAGCTTGGATCACTAGCCTGGTCTCAGGTGTGGACACTATGCCTCAAAGTTTAGTGTCATCGGCGAACTTAGCCAATGCGCTTCTGATACCAACGTCCACATTGTTAATAAAGATGTTAAAAGAACTGATCCAAGGACAGAGCCTTGGGGGACACCACTGGTCATGGAGCACCATAATGATTCCCTACTATCAACCACTATTCTCTGGGTCTGACCTCGGAGCCAATTTCCCAACCATCAGACTGTGGTGTAGCCAGGGCCACAGTTGGCCAATTTTCCATGAGGAGGTCATGGGACACCAGATCAAAGACTTTTTTAAAGTCCAAATAGATGACGTCAATCTCTTCTCCCTTGTCCTGGTGGTATGTCAGCTGGTCATAGGAGATTGGTCAGGCAAGACCTACCTGTGACAAACCCATGCTGGCTGTCCCTAATGATTTTGCCATCAGCCAGTTTATCAGGAAGGGTCTCTTTGATAATTTTCTCCAGAATCTTACTGGGGATTGAGGTCAAGGTGATTGGCCTGTAATTCCCAGGATCTACTTTCTGCCCTTTCTTGAAGATGGGTACCACATTGGCCTTCTTCCAGTCTTCAGGTACTTCACCTGAGTGCCATGAGTTTTCAAATATTTTTGCCAATGGTTGGGCTATGACACCTGCCAGCTCCTTGAGTACTCTAGGGTGTAATCTGTCAGATCCAGCTGACTTGAAGATATCCAGCATCTCAAGGTGATCCTTTACTAGATCAACACCGATGCTAGGTATAATACGCCCTCACCCTGGCCGTCCCGTGTCTTGCTAGGCAGGGCGGTCCCATTGGACCGATGAAAGACTGACGCAAAGTACCCATTAATTAGATTGGCCTTTTCCTGGGTGTTGATTATCAGCTGTCCCATTTGGTTC